TCCCAGACGGCCCAAGAGGCCTCCAGGACGTCCCAAGAGAGTTCCAAGAGCATTCCCAAGAGGGCGGCAAGAGGCCGAAATCATTGAATTCCGTTGGTTTGTTGCAGGTGTTTTGCTTTCTTGTTTTTTCGTCGTCCCGACCCTCCAAGACAGCCCACGAAGTCCCCAAGACCGTCCCAAGATCGCCCAAGAGGCCCCCAAGAGCGCCCCAAGACGACCCAAGAGAGTTTAAAAACAACCGAGCAGGCGCCTAAGACCGCCCAAGAGCTTGCAAACACGGCCCAAGAAGCGTCGAAGAGGGTCCAAGCGTGCCTCGACGCGCCTAAGACCGTTCCAAGACGCCCAAGAGTGCTCCCAGATGGTCCAAGAGGCCTCCAAGACGTCCCAAGAGAGCCCCAAGAGCATTCCCAAGAGGGCTGCAAGAGGCCGAAGTCATTGAATTCCGTTGGTTTTTTGCAGGTGTTTTGCTTTCTTATTTTTTTCGTCGTCCCGACCCTCCAAGACAGCCCACGAAGTCCCCAAGACCGTCCCAAGATCGCCCAAGAGGCCCCCAAGAGCGCCCCAAGACGGCCCAAGATGCCCCCCAAATAACCCAATAGGCGCCTAAGACCGCCCAAGAGCTTGCAAACACGGCCCAAGAGGCGTCGAAGACGGTTCCAGGCGCCTCGACGCGCCTAAGACCGCTCCAAGACGCCCAAGATGGTTCCCGGATGGCCCAAGTTGCGTCCAAGACGCTCCAAGACAGCCCCAAGAGCATCCCCAAGAGGGACCCGAACAGCCAAAATCATTGTTTGCCTTCAGGCTTTTCAAGGTTTTTGACTTCCTTAACTTTTCGTCGTCCCGACGCTCCAAGACGGCCCAAGAGGCCCCCAAGACCGTCCCAAGCTGGCCCAAGAGGCTCCCAAGAGAGCCCCAAGACGGCCCCGAGGCCCCAACGACGGCCCAATAGGCGCCCAAGACAGAGGGTCCAAACATTACCCCAAGACGAGCCCATGACGGTCCAAGCGTGCCTCGAGACGCCTAAGACCACACCAAGACGCCCACGATCGATCCAAGACGCCCAAGATGGCCCCCAGACGGCCCAAGAGGCTTCCAAGACGTCCCAAGAGAGCCCCAAGAGCATTCCCAAGAGGGCTGCAAGAGGCCGAAATCATTGAATGCCTTTAGTTTTTGTAGGTGTTGGGTTTTCTTGTTCTTGTCGTCGTCCCGACCCTCCAAGACAGCCCACGAAGCCCCCAAGACCGTCCCCAGATCGCCCAAGAGGCCCCCAAGAGCGCCCCAAGACGGCCCCAAGAGGCCCTAAAAACAACCCAATAGGCGCCTAAGACCGCCCAAGAGCTTGCAAACACGGCCCAAGAGGCGTCGAAGACGGTCCAAGCGTGCCTCGACGCGCCTAAGACCGCTCCAAGACGCCCAAGATGGTTCCCGGATGGCCCAAGTTGCGTCCAAGACGTCCTAAGACAGCCCCAAAAGCATTCCCAAGAGGGACCCAAACAGCCAAAACCTTTGCTTAACTTCAGGCTTTTCAAGGTGCTTGGCTTCCTCAACTTTTCGTCGTCCCGACGCTCCAAGACGGCTCAAGGGGCCCCCAAGACCGTCCCAAGCTGGCCCAAGAGGCTCCCAAGAGAGCCCCAAGACGGCCCAAGAGGCCCCAACGTCGGCCCAATAGGTGCCCAAAATAGCCCAAGAGGCCCCAAACATTGCCCCAAGACGCGCCCATGACGGTCCAAGCGTGCCTCGAGACGCCTAAGACCGCACCACTACGCCCAAGATGTGCTTCGAGACGCCTAAGATCGCACCACTACGCCCAAGATTGCTCCCAGACAACCCAAAAGGCCTCCAAGACTTCCCCGCAGAATCCCAAGAGCTTTCCCAAGAGAGCCTCAAGAGGCCAAAATCATTGACCCCCTTAAGGTTTTCAAAGGTTTTGTTTTTTTGCATTTTCGTAGTCCCGACGCTCCAAGACGGCCCACGAGGCCCCCAGGACCACCCCAAGATGGCCCAAGAGACCCCGAAGAGGCCCCAAGACGGCCCAAGAGAGCAAAACGACTGCCCACGAGGCGCCCAAGGCGGCCCAAGAGGCCCCACCCACAGCCCCAAGAGGGGCCTAAGAGGGAGAACACGAACCGAAATCCAACCTTTCCGTTCAGGAAGGCCCCAAGAAGCTCCCAAGAAACTCCAAGAAGCTCCACGAAGCCCAAAACAGGTTCCAAAAGGCCCCTCCTATCCACTCGTCGTCATTCTCGTCTACGTCGTCGTCGTCCTGTTCGACGACGCCGTCGTCGCCATCGCCGCCTTTCGGCCTCGCAGCCAGTTTGGCTGAGCGCTCGGGCGCACGTGGCAGCCGCCGCCCGCGCCCAAGCGCGGACGAGCGAAGATGAGCAAAATGACAATACGGAAACAGACAGTATTCAGACGACTTTTGACAGGACTTGGCCGTGACCTCAACTGGAACCGAAGCGCGCGCTAAGCGCGCGCGATGGTTCAAGTATGTATATATATATATATACATACATACATACATACATACATACATACATACATATATATACATATATATATATATATATACATATATATATATACACACACATATAACGGCGCACCGGGTCCGGGGGCCCAGGGCCGGGACCTCGACCACAAATGTGGGCCCCGGGGGGCCCGGAGGCTCGTCGGGGCTTGCCGGAGGCCTCCCCGGTCAGACAAGACGGCCCCAGAAGCGCCCAAGACGGCCCAAGAAACTTCCAAGAGGCCTCCAAGAGGGCTCCGAGATGCTGAAGATGGCCTCCAGACGTCCAAGGACGCCCCCAAGAGGCCCCAAGAAGCCTCCAACATGCGTCCCAAGAGGGCCCCTAGACGCAAAAATTGGCCCATTCCCTTCGTAAAACGTACATTTTCAACAAAGTTGTCTTTTGGGCTTTCCGACGTTACAGGACGGCCCAAGAGGCGCCCAAGACCGCCCCAAGACGGCCCAAGAAGCTTCCAAGAGGGCCCCAGGACAGCCCAAGAGGGCCCCAAGACGGCCCAAGAGGCGCCCAAGATGGCCCAAGAGGGCCCCAAGACGGGCCCAAGAGGGGGCCCAGAGGGGGACCACGAACCGCAAGCTCGAGCCTTCCGCCCCAAGAGGCCGCCAGGAGGCCCCCAGGAGGCCCCTCAAGAGGCCCCAGGAGACCCCCAAGAGGCCCAAAGGAGGCCCCGAGAAGCCCCAAATCGGCCCCCACAATGCTTCGAACCTGCTTCCAGGAGGCCCCCGACAGGTTCAGAGGCTCCCAAGAAGCTACGTCAAACTCCCAGCGAGCGGCCGGACGAGGCCCCCCAAAAAATCCCAAGAGGGTTCCAGTATTTGTATCCTTCAGCGCTCTCTGGCCTTCTTCCCCCTGCCCCCTTCCCTGCGACTTTCGTTGACTCAAGCTCGCCTCCTCTCCATTTCCTCTCTCTGCCTCTCTCTCTCTCTCTCTCTCTCTCTCTATATATATGTATTATTCTCTCTCTCTCTCCATCTCTCTCTCTCTCTCTCTCTCTCTCCTTCGCTCTCTGTCTGTCTGTCTCTCTCTCTCCCTCTCTTTCTCTCTCTTTCTCTTTCTTCCTTTCAGATTCCGTGTCCTTGCGACCTTCTGCAGTCCCCGACGTCGCCACGGCTGGATCCGCTCGAGCGTGTCTTGTGATGTGCGGCGGTGCGAAGCCCGTCCCACTGATCAAGGCACAGGTACGAAATGATGGGTCCATCATTTCTTGCCTTCCCATGTGCGTTTTCCCAATCGATTCCTGGGCCCGAGGTCGCAAAAATTACGACGTCGGAGGTCTGGGGAGGCGGGAAGCACGACCTGGACCTCCGACGTCTTGGAAAAATCACGACGGCGGTTTCGGTCAATTTTCGGCCTCCGGGGCCCCTCGCAGGGTCCCGGGACCGTCAGAAAACGACTCAGGATGAAAAAAAAAACATCCCCAGGAAGTCGTCGAGAGGTCCAGGGGCCGCGCACAGAAAGCATCACGACATCGGACGTCCAGAGAGGAGGTAGGAACACGAGGAGGAGGGAGCCCAGACCTCCTGGCGACGCAACACCAAAGACAACAAAAGCTTCCCCGCGACTTCCCCCAGAGACTCTAACTACAGAAACTCCTTTCGTATTCCGGCCAGAAGCATCCAGAAACGATGTACATTAGCCCTGGCGGGGGGAATGATGGCGATGGTGATGGTCATGATGACGACGGTGACGATCCTAGCTAGAACCTAAGCGCGCGCGAAGCGCGCGCGTGGTTCTAGTATATATATATATATAAATGGGGGAAGAGTATACACATACATACGTACGTATGTACATACATACATACATGCATAGCTACGGTCGCAATAGATGTGTATATATACAGGTTTGCATATCAGCCAGCGTTGACTCCGCATAGATTAGACGACTCAAAACAAGGAATATGAGGAATCCAGCATGCTTGGAACCCGCAACTCAGCAAGCAAGCAAGCGTGCAAGCATGCAAGCAAACAGGCATAGGCATAGGCGTAGGCATATGAGTTAGCGGAAGGCATAGCCATAGCCATAGCCATAGGAATTGGGTGGGAGGCGGAGGAATTAGGGGGGGCGACGGACCAAGTAGTAGGGTTTGAGCTAGGACTCCAACAGGGCAAGGCTATTTGGAAAAATTACATATAATGTGTAGAGATATGTGTATGTATATATGTATATATGTATATATGTATATATGTATATGTGTATATGTGTATATGTATATGTATATGTATATGTGTATGTGTATGTATATGTGTATGTATGTGTATATATATAGATGTGTATGTATGTATGTATGTATATATATGTACATATATATATATCTTTATATATATATATATGGAAATGTGCGTAAGTATGCAAAGTGCTAGCCCTCTGCCAGGGTCACCTTCAACACGTTGATCGACGTGCTTGCCCGGCAGGGCGACGCGGCTGGCGCGAACGAGCTGTTCCGGGACATGTCGCTCAACAACGTGGAGCCGGATTTGATCTCGGGGGCCCCCAAGCGGCGTGGTGACCACACCGCGTGGTGGGTCACGGGGAATTCCGGGTCACCGTACGGTTTTCGGACTCGGGTCGTTCTCCGAGGACGTCTCCGGCCCCAACCAGGGCTTCCGAGGTTCCAAAACCGTGCGGTGACGGACCGCGCGGTGCGGTCTCTTGGGATGCCGAGGTCATTACGCGGTCCGTCACCACTCGTTTGGGGCCCCCGGTGATCACCTTTTCCACCCTCATCAAGGGGCACTGCGCTGCTGGCGACATAGAGCAGGCCGGCATCACCCAATAATTTGTACCTATACGACCACCCTTCGGGTGACAAGGAGGTTCGGGGGGGGAGGAACCAACGTCTCACTCGATCGGTCTCACTATCGATCCCACTATCGATCTCACTATCGGTATCGCTCGATCGATATCACTCGATCGATCTCACAATCAATATCACTCGATCTAGTTCATTCGATCGATCTGACTATCGGTCTCACAATCGATTTCACGATCGATCCCACTATCGATCTCACACTCGATTTCACATCCGGACTAACTATCGATCACACTATCGGTATCACATTCGGTATCACAATCAACGTCATCATCATCAACATTACAACCAACAACGTCACCAACATCATCATCATCATCATCATCATCATCATCATCATCATCATCATCATCATCATCATCATCATCATCATCGGGACACCATCATAATCATCATCACCTCATCACCATCATCATCAGCATCATCATCATCATTTTCACTCGCATCATCGGGACACCAGAATTGTCACCATTATCATCAACATCATCATCGTCGGGGCACCATCATCATCATCATTGAAGCATAACCATCATCATCACCATCCTCATCATATCATCATCATGGTCTTGAACCACATCAGCACCATCATTGGGTCACCATCATCATCGTCACCATCCTTATCATCACCATCATCATCATCATCGGGACACCATCATCGTCATCAGCATCATCACCATCATTGGGCCGCTATCATCAAAATCATCATCATCACCTCATCCGCATCCTCATCATCAACATCATCATCGGGACACCATCATCGTCATCATCAGTATCAGCATCATCATCATCGGGACATCATCTTCACCATCATCATTAACAGCATCATCATCAACCTCTTAATCATCATCATAGGGGCACCATCATCATCACCACCATCAGCATCATCATCAATTCATATGAGCATCATCAACATCATCAGGATCATCAACATCATCATCGGGGCACCATCATCATCATCAGCAGCAACATCATCATCAACATCATCATCGGGGCACCATCATCACCACCATCACCATCATCATCATCAACATCGTAAACATCATCATCATCATCATCATCATCATCACCATCACCATCATCATCATCATCATCATCATCATTGTCAACATAATCAAATTCATCATCATCATCATCATCATCATCATCATCATCATAATCAGCGGGACACCGACGGGACACCGGCGGGTCACTGGCGGGACACCGCGCGCCACCGGCCCCCGAGCGGGACACTGGCGGGACACCGCGGGGCACCGGTTGCTGGAACGGAGACTTTTGGTCCGGCTGCGCCGCAGCTACAGGAGACTTATTTCTCGCCCGCCCACGCAGCTTCGCCCCGCACGCACGCACGGCACGCACGAACACGAAACCGAAACCGATTTCCCAGTAGGGGGGCTCTCCCTTCCACTTCGATCTCACCCCCTCACTTCCGATAACGTTTTAACAATATGTGTGCACCGTACCGCGTTGGCGTATCCCGAGGCGTCGTCGATGCTCGACCCAGGAATGGTACGGTGCATGGTTGTTCGGCCTCTAGCGCCGCAAACGATGCACCGTTCCGCGTTCGGGCGGGGCTTAACGGGAGTCCAGATATGGTACGATGCATGGGCGCCGTTCTCATACATATATATATGTGTGTATATATATATACATACATACATACATACATACATACATACAGACAGACAGACAGACAGACAGACAGACAGACAGACAGACAGACAGACAGACAGACAGACAGACAGACAGACAGACATACATACATACATACATATATATATATATATATATATATATGCCGGCGGAACAGGGGCGAGGCCGCCAGGAGTCGACCTGCGCCCCCATAGGGGTTCCGGGACTCACTTTCCGAGGCCCCCAGGAGTGGACTTGCGCCCCCCATGGGGGCTCCGGGGTTCACTTTGCTTGTGTTTTTATTGGGCTTCGGCGTTCCAGGGCGTGCGAGGCGCCAGCGTTCCAGGGCCTCCGAGGCGCCAGCGACGGTTCCAGGGGGTTCCGGGGCTCACTTCCCTTGTGTTTTTATTAGGCTTCGGCGTTCCAGGGCCTCCGAGGCGCCAGCGTTCCAGGGCCTCCGAGGCGCCAGCGACGGTTCCAGGGCCTTTCCCAGATCTCCGAACACATTTCCATTACCATTCTGCAGAGGCCCGCCGCAGGTCCCAGGGCACGCACAAAGCGCTCCAAAACGATTCCAGGACAAGCTGTCTGCTCTCGTTTTTCTTATGTTTTTACAGGGTTTCGGCTTCCAGGGCCTCGGAGGCGGCAGCGGCGACCCCGGACATCTTGTTGACCTTCGGACGGTGGCCAAAAACCAGCCCCACAGCGCTCCAAGACGGCCCACGACGCCTCCTATACCGCACCAGGACGGCCCCAGAGAGCTCCAAGCGGCCCCCACGACGGCCCAAGAGGGCCCCAAGACGGCACAAGAGGCACTGAAAACGGCCCAAAGGAGTTCCGACACGGACCCCGAGAGGCGAAAAAAAAAGCTCATTGAGGCCTTCCACATGCCCAGGCCGCCCAAAAGGCCAAAAACGGCCCCGAGATACACCAGAGCATACCCCAAGAGGCTTGAACAATTGCGTATCACCCTGCTTCTCGTCCGCCTTATCACCTTCCTGCTCCTCATTTCTTCTGGTTGTCCAGCTCTCTCCCGGTCTCAGGAAATATAAACATACTCCCGGAACTGCCAGGAACAGCATTCCTCGAGTGTTTTTTGTTTGTTCTTCGCCGCCCTGCTCCATCGTCATTCCCTGATCCTCCGCCTGCTGCGGCTGCTTTTCATGCTACTCCCACACCTCCCCCTTCCCCCTCCTCCCGCTCCCCTTCTCTACATTCTCACCCACCTGCTTATGGAGCTCTCTCCCGGTCTCTCGAAGTATGTTCCCGGAGCGCCTGCCGGGAACATAATTTCTTTGCTTGCGTTCGAGCGTTTCTTTTGTTATTCGCCACCTTGCCTCTTCGATTTTCTTCCCATGTCATCCTCCTGCTGCGGACGGTCAACATGCTACTCCTGCACCTCCCCCTGTCCTTCTTGTACCTCCTCCTGCTCCCCCTGAACCTCTCTTCCTCCTGCTCCCCTTCTTCTCCTCCTCACCCTCCTTCCCTTCCGCCTATTCCTTATGTCCTGCTCGTCCTGCTCCCCCTCCTCTTCCTGCCGCTCACCTTGTCCTGCGTGTCTGTCCTCCTCGTCCTTCTCATCCCCCTGCTCCCCCCCCTCCTCTTCCTCCTCCTCCTCCTTCTCCTCCTCCTTCTCGAGATTTCTCCTCCTGCTCTAGCCCTCCTCCTCCTTCCTGTCCTCCCCCTCCTCCTCCTCGGGCCCCTCCCCCTCCTCCTCCTGCTGTCACGAAATATGTTATCGGGGAGCTGCCCGGGACTGTAATTCCGCACGCATCCCTTTCTCCACCTCACCGATATTACTCCCTCTCGTCCCCCCCCTCTTCTTTCTCGGCCCCCCCCTCCTCCTATCGCGCAAGATGTTCCCAGGAAGACAAGTCCCATCCCTTTGCTTAAGCGCCTGATCCCTCCTGGGCGGCCCTTCCCCCTCCTCCTTCCTCTGATCCCCCTCCCTTGGCGGCTCTTCCTCCTATTCCTGTTCCTCTCCCCCTTCTTCCTCCGCCTCCTCCTGCTCCCCCTCGACTTCTCCCTCTCTCTCCCTTGCTTCTGCCGCGCGTCCTTCCTCGTCACTCCGCGGGTCGCGGGGTCGAAGAGTCTCGGAAGCCGATGGGTCGCGGGGCCGCGATTGAGGATCTTCGACCCTAGAGGTCAGGAGCGCCCAGGGACCGAAGGATTCGGAGGACTCCTGGGGCCGACTTCAAGGGTCGCGGGGCCACGGTTCCCAAAGGCATCCGGACCGGGGGGGGCGCCCGGATCGAGGGGCGCCCGGACCGGGGAAGGGGGGTGGGAGGAGGAAGGGCAGAGGATATCGAGGAGGAGGAGGAGGAGGAGGAGGAGGAGGGGGAGGAAAAGGAGGGGAAGAGGAGGGGGAGAAGAACGCGCAGGAGGAGCAGAAGCAAATGAGGAAGGAGGAGGAGGTGGTGGAGGAGAAGAAAGGGAATTAAGGAAACGGAGGAAAGAGACAGACGATGAAGGGGAGGAGGAAGAGGACGAAGGAGGAGGGAGAAGAGAAGAAGGAGGAGGAGAAGGAGGTCGAGGAGGAGGAGAAGGACGGACAGATACATGCGTATATATACAGAAGAAAAGGCCTTCCTTGATACTTCTGGCAGGGCCTTGCCGCGATCTCGGCTAGAACCGAAGCGCGCGCGATGGTTCTAGTGTATACGTATATACATATATATATACACGCACGCGTGTGCGCGCGCGCGTCATCCACCAATTGGGGCGACGCCTGCGCTCAGGGATCTTAATCTATGTATACAGATATATAAATATGTGTATAGCTATATATATATATATATATGTTCGGTGGCGTCGGCTTTCTGGCGGCACCACCTGGGCGCTCGGCATCGCTCGGACGTGCCCAGTTTTCTCGACAGGGGCCATCGAGGAGCACGTTGAGTCACCTTGCGGAAAGAGTCGCGCACGAAACCGAAGAAACGCACGGGGAACGGTCGCTCGAGCGATGGCGAGGGCAACGGTAGAATGGAAGATGTTCGCGTTGAGTATTCGGCTCGGACGTGCGCTTCCGAGAAGGGCGCACAGCGCCGATGTGCCCTCCTGCATCCCAGCAGGGGCTGCGCCTGCTCGGGCTGATGCAGCGGCGCGGCATAGCGCCCGACTCGATCCTCTTCAACTCGATCCTGGACGGCTGTGCGCACAGGCAGATGCGGGGTCTCACCGAGCAGGTGTCAGCCGCGCGCACAAGGAGGCAGGGGGAAAGGGGGAAGGCGTCTTAGAAGCACTCCTGCTTCTCCTTGCAAGGCGCGGGCCTCACATCTATAGATAAGGCCCGCGCGTTTTAAGGAACAGCCTCCTTCTAAGAAGCTTTCCCCCCTCCCCCTGCCTCCTTGCGCGCGCCTCCAAAGGTGCTCCACGACATGGAGGCGGCGGGCGTGCCGCCGTCGAACTTCACGCTGTCCATCCTGGTGAAACTGTACAGCCGGTGCGGGGACCTGGAGGCCGCGATCGGCGTGGTCGAGGATTTTGGCTTCTCCGAGTGGTCAGAGGAAGATAACGTGCCGGTACCGCTGGTCTTCCCTCGTTTCTGCATCTGTCAGCCTCTTGGAAGGCCTTCGTCGCCACAGCTGCATTCGCCCCGAAGTTTTGGTCAGAAAGCCCCCCAGTAGAGGTCCAGCGAGTGGCAGTATCTGTATCTTGTGGTCCCCCTAAAATGGGGTCCGATCAGACGCATTCGTGGTGCCTCCAGAGGAGTACCCGCGTAAGTACCGGTTCAAGCTGAACGCGCAGGTGTACACGTGCCTCATGGCCGCATGCATCTCCCACGGGAGGACTCGGGTGTTGCCACAAGTGGTCCTGGCCCGGGGCCCAAGGTGTCTCCAGCTTTTCGCGACAGCTTGGAGCCGGGGGGGGAGTCCTGGGCCTCGTGAGGGGGAGGCCATCTGGGCCTCCCCAGGAATCCTTGGAACACCCCAGGGGAAAATGACATCAGGGGATGGGAATAGGGGGGAATGCATCGACCTCCAATCGCCCACTGATCGCCGATAGAGGCCCAGTAATCCCACCATGCCCAGGAGCGTTCGGATTCACTATCCAGGGTCTATCGCCGATCCATCGGCGATGTATAGCCGATTCCAGGTCGATGCGTTCCCCCCTATGCCAGTCCCCCCCGGTCGTCGCCCCTCAAGACTTCGGGCCAGGGGTGCAGTTTGGCAACACTCGAAGGATGGCCACGGCACTGGAGGTGCACGGCTCTATGAAGCGCGCGGGCTGCCAGAGCGATGCTAAGACGTACCACACCTTGCTGAGCGGGTGCATTCGCCACGGCAACCTGGAGGCAGGGCCCAATTTGATCCGATCGATCCGATTCGATGTCGATTCTGGCCCGCCCGATCCGATTCGATTCCGATACTCCGACGATCCGGCGCGGCCCGGTGTTTGCACGGCGTTCTTGTGCATCCCAGCGCAGCCGATCCGACTCGATTTCGATTCCGTGCCGATGCAGTCCGATGCACATTTCGATTCGATCAGTTTACCAATCCGATGCTGGTCCTCCTTCCTCGTCCTCGTCCTCGTCCTCGTCCTCGTCGTCGTCCTCCCTCCTCGTCCTGCCTCCTCGTCCTGGTCGTCGTCCTCGTCGTCGTGATGGATCCTGCCTGAAGGGGGCCGTCGCCCTGCTCGACGACGCCCTGGGGCGCGCGCCGCCCGTGCGGCCCAGCCGCGAGGTCGCCGAGGGGGTGCTGCTCATGGCGCAGAGGCCGCGGCGGCCCCGCTCGGGTCGGCCGGGCGTGCGCGGGCACATGCACGGCATGCGCGGGGCGCGCCAGGAGGGGGGAGGAGGGGGGAGGGGGGAGGACAAGCTAGGTGCGCTCGCGTCATATCTGACACCCTACCCCTCCCTCCCATCCCTTACCATGGCGTAGATCCCCTCTCTACTCGCACAGTCGGATGTCGAGCAGGGCAATGATCCCGAAAGGGTACGCGATGCATTGTAGAGCACGGCGTGGCATGGCGTAGAAGAGCACCGCGGGAGGAGGGGGGGGAGGAGGAGGAGGAGGAGGAGAGGAGGAGGAGGAGAGAGGAGGAGGAGGAGGAGGAGGAGGAGGAGGAGGACGAGGAGGACGAGGAGGACGAGGAGGAGGAGGAGGAGGAGGAGGAGGAGGAGGAGGACGAGGAGGACGAGGAGGACGAGAACGGGGTCCTCGACGCGATGCTCGAGCATCGGTTGTGTTTGGGCGTCTCTTGTGGGCCTCCCGTGGCGCCCTCGTGGGCACGGCGGGGTTCCCGACGTCATCTTGGCCAGAACGCCAGGGTCGGGGGTTCGTAGAGGGAGGGTTATCCCCAAGGTGGGGCCGGGGGACGGGTCCAGTTGGATGCTCCTGTTGAACGCGTTTTCTTTTCTCCAGAGGCCGTGCGGAGCGATATTCCTTCCAACCCCAACTTTGTCCCAACCCCACCCTTGTTCCCCCCCGATCGATGACCCAGATCTTGGTTCGGAAGCACGGCATGGGAGCCTCGTATCTTGGCCTCCTGGGTGGGGTCCGAGCAGATGGGGTCGGAGGATCCCGCCGCATCGCCGATGCATCGGCGATTCGGCTCGATGTGGAGCCTGTGTTTCTCCACGCCGACGTCGCCGATGCATCGCCGACGTCGCCAGAGCATCGCCGATGTATCGGCGATGCGGCGAGCTCCTCCGACCCCCTCTGCCCGACCCCCGTCCAGGAGGCCTCGACCTTCGTTCGGAAGCACGGCATGGGAGCCTGGTGCGTCCTCGGAATTCCGCTTTCAGGGTGCATTCGTGTGTGCTGGCGCAGTTAGCGTCTGGTAGCGTCGATTAGCGTCGGTTCGAGCCGATTAGCGTCGATTCGCAAGAGTCCATCTGCACGATGGCATGGGAGGCTCCCATGAGTTGCCACAGAATCTTCGGCGACATGTGACTTGCAATCCAGCCGCATTTCCTCGGTTTCGGCCTACAGGGCCCGTCATCGGGACCCAGGGCCACCAAACATTGACCCTGGACGAGAAATTGAAGGGGTCGGGACTTGTGGAGCCGCGCACTAGAAAAAATATCGTCGGTTCAGCGTTCGAGGATCGAGACTGAGGGAGGGTTTGCCGCACGTCTTTGGGCCTGCCCAAGCTCCCAGGGGAGGCTTCTGGTCTCTGCGACCGGATCCGCCTCGAGATGTATGCACATCGCTTCGCAGGAATGTTTGCTCCTGGAAGGGTCTCTTGGGGCCAGCTTGGCGGCCTCTTGGACGATCTTGGGGCAGTCTTGGGCCATCTTGTGGTTCTCTGGGATGTCTTTGGGATCCCTTTGGGCCGTACCGAGGCCGTTGGGGTTGTTTAGGGGCCCCATGGCGTTGCGACTGTTGCAAGCACCCACAGTGCATCGTATGCAGCTAGACGTCGAGGCCGACGTCCATGAAATTCCAAGTTGAAAGATTGCAAGAATGGATATGTCTGAAGTGCAGAGCGCAGGAGGTACGAACACACACACACACACACACTTTGCGTCGGCGGCTAGGCAGGGGTCGTCTGCGCTGGCGGAAGAAGCTAACTATACACACAAGTTGAAGGGGTGCGGCAGTCTTCAGCAAGGAAAAACTAAAACAATGTTTGCAAGTGCATGTAGAGCACATGCGCTATCGTACGCGGCGGGTTCGCCGCGCATGGCGTAGAGCAGTTGAGAGAGTGTCGCGGAGATGACATGTGGCGCGTGAAACAAAGAGGACAGGTTCTTGTTTGGGGGGATCTGCTGGAGAAGCCAAGGGGTTGTCTTGGGGCCGTCGTGGGCTGTGTTGGGACCTCTGCGGGTCCTCCTGGCGCACTCTCGGGCGTATACATGGCGTGAACACAGTGGTTTGCCTTTTTGAGGATCCGGACCGTCTGCGATTCGGCACGGGCACTGGTTGCATGAAAAACAGTTCGCGTTTGCAAAATGACTCCCCGTGCATGTGTTAATTGTCCACTTTGTCCCCGCTCTGCAACTGCCTTCCCCCCAAAGCACACCACACGTGCTGTATGAGAGTTTCCCCTTTTCCGCGGACAAGTTGTATGCCATGTGTTCGTGTGCTATTTGGTTGGCGCGGGCCCTTGACGACCTGTTCTTTGTGCATTCCCCACCCAACCCCACCCTCGTGCCTTCCTGGGCTCAACTGACCTCGTCGCCCACCTTGTACTTAAAGCACACAGATGCAGATACCCTTCCCGCGTGCTCGCCTCATAGGATCACCCTGGAGGCCCTCGGTCCTCGTCGCCACGGCTGGGTTCGCTTCGAAATCCTGATCGGATAGCGCCCAAGGAGAGATTCCGACGGCCTTGAGAGCAGCTGTTTCGGTATCCTCGTCTAGGCGTTTGTTCCCCCCACCCAAGCGGCTCGAAGATGATCGCGTTTCGCGCGTCACGGCCTGGGTCGGAGAGCTTATCGGTACCAAGGAAGTTCTTCGTTGTTGTTATGAAGCATGTGCAGCACGATTGTTCTCAGGTCGTGCGACTCGTGGCTGAGATTCCATGTGATATCCGTCCGTCTGTTACATGGAAGTTCATCTAGGGAATCATGGAGGCCGCCTTGGGCGTCTCTCGGGGCTGTCTGAAAACCTTTTGGAGGGTATGTAGGGCTGCCTTGGGGCCACCTTGATCCCTCTAGCTAGGCCGTCGTTGGGGTCTCGGTGCAGTTTGGGAGTGTCCCGGGGGCCTTGCTGGGCCATTTTACGCGCCGTTTTGAGCCGATGTGGGGCGCACGTGGGGCATGATTCGGCTACCATGGGCTGTAATTGGGGACTTTGGGTCGCACGGTGCCGAAGTTGGGAGTGGGTTGGGTCGTCTTGAACGCTTCGAGGACCGACATGCGAGTGCGCCAAAATCGTTTTAAGCCATGCGTTGTGTTGTTCAATGTGTGTTGTATTGTTGCCCAGACCCTGTTCATGCGTCGCAGATACTCAACAGGATTGCTACACAGCCGTCGACCCCCTTCGGCTCAACCGCGTCTGCCAATCCAGCTCGGTGTGAACGCCTGTGGGTGTCGAGTGGTGCACACTGTCTTTGCACGCCCATAACAATTGCGTAAATGGTGCGCCCCTTGTGTAGGAGGCATTCGAGGGGTCTTCCCTCGAGACACTATTGAGTTGCGTTGGAATCCTTGTGCCATCGAAGGGCCTGAGGCCACTGGGTGGGCGGGTAGGGAAAAGGGGACCGATTCGCCTTTTCGGATGATTTCCAGGTCGAGTGGGGCAGTCTACCTTGGTCATGTCTGGTTCTGGCGTCGAAGACATGATAGTTATATCTCGGTTTCGCCCCACCATCGTGGATGCATTGAGTGGCAATGGCACTGGTAGACGAATCACGTTGGCTTAACCGTTGTTATTCATATAACGACCTCCTATCATAACCGCTACTACCATCACGGCTGCCCTTCTGGTCACCACCACCATGGCCATTGCCATTGGCTTCACCACATGCACGGACATTGCCTTTGCAGCTTCCTTCTACCACTACAAGCACAACCACCGCCACAGTCAAAGTGACAGTTAGATTGATGTATGATAGCATCGGTGACCGCGATTGCTATTACCAGCGTGGCAAGTCACGAATGCATCATTTAGGCCACGCCTACAGCCGCAATCACCACGATACTGATTATATTGTTGTTAGCTTTGGGTCCGTCCTGCCAGCGTGGCGTGGATCAGAAGAGGCCCCTTGGAGTTTTCAGGGGGAGCTCTTGAGCTCTCTTGTGGTCTTCTTGCAGCCCTGTGGCGACATTCTCTGTAGGCCTCTTGGGTGCCTGGCTGGGGTCTGCTGCCCATCCTGGAAAGAGGCGTCCGGCGCTCCGTCCGCGGCACGGTTATTGAGCCGAGCGTGGCCGCGCGGGTGGCTGGGCTTGCGTGAGTGTTTTGGAGCGGTCGTCGCGCCTTGCTGTGCCGTCGTGGCGCTGTGCTGCGCCGTTCCGAAAGAGTGTCGAATTCTTGGCGCGTCGCGTATCCCCACCAGCGTCCGTAACCATTCTGGCTCAAGGCATTTCTTGGGCGCGAGCCCCGAAGCCCCCCCTCGAGGTCGCCGCATCCCCCGCGGCGATCCCGCCTTCTCCCCCGGGATGCCGGCCCTGGTGCCCCTGCGGGTGGCGCTCCTGGTGGTCGCGGCGGGCGCGGCGCTCACTCCTGCGAGGCTGAAGCCCGACGGCAGCCACGCGGTGGCCCCCGATGGGCCGGTGCGATTCCGCTTCGCGCCCGTGGACAGCACCGCGAGCGCGGGGACCAAGATGTCGAAGTTCAGGCATTGGGTGAGATCCGCGGGCGGTGCCCTCGTCAGCGATCGGGTCGTGAACAGCTCCGAGCCGGAGCTGGTCCTGCCGGGCCTGCGGCCCGGGCGGTACAGGTGGGGCGTGCAGTGGTGGTCCGCTGGCACCGCGTCCGCCGAGGCCGAGTCCGAGGTCCTGGTGGCGCCCCGCGGCGACGCGTGGGACAGCGTTCCCTGGCTCGGGGCGCACGGCGCCAACGAGTTCCGCCTGGCCGCGCGCGTGCCGGCCCCGAGCGACGCGGAGCTCCTCGTGGCCACCCTCGGCTTCGGCTATGTGACGATCAACGGCCACGAGGTGTCCAAGGATGTGCTCAGCTACTCTGGCTGGACGGTCACCGACAAGCGGGTGCTCTACCGCAGCTACAACGTGACGGGCCTCCTGGGCAGCGACGGAGTGGCGCAAATCTTCGTCGGGCTGGGCTGCGGGTACCGCTGCGACGCGAAAGGGCAGTCGCGCTTCCCGGGCAAGGTGCCCCCCCCGAACGACGCGGTCCCGAAGGTGCTCCGTCTGCAGCTGTGGGTCGGCGGGAAGCTCGTGGCGCACAGCGGCAGCCCAGGGTGGCAGGCGAGAGCTGGCCCGGTCGTCGACGACTCGGTGTACGATGGGGAGACGTACAACCAGACGGCCGCCACGGGGTGGGCCCCCGCCGCCGCGCTCGCGACGGGCAGCGGCCCTGCCGGCACCATGGTGCCCGCCAGCTTCCCGGGCGTTCAGGTCATGCGTGTGGACGCCCCGGTGGCCATCACCGAGCCGGCCCCTGGCGTCTTCGTGGTCGATTTCGGGTCCAATGTCGCCGGCGTCTGCCGCATCTCCATCCCTTCGGCGGGCACCGTCGTGCTGAGGCACGGCGAGGTGCTGCAGCACTCGTCCATGCCCGGTGCACCGGACCCGGAGCCTGGCCGCGTCTACTTTGGCAACCTCCGGTCGGCAAAGGCGACCGACACCGTCGTCGCAGCAGGACCCTTGAAAGATTGGTGGCCCAGGTTTACCTACCATGGCTTCCGGTACGTCGAGGTCACGGGCTTCCCAGGGACGCTCACTGCTGGCGATATCTCCAGGCTCCGTCTCCACACTGCCCTGGAGTCCAAGACGCATGCCACCTTCAGTGACGAAGTGCTGCAGGCCATTCACGAGGGATCGCGTGGCTCGCAGCTGTCGAACTTGATGCAGTTGCCAACAGACTGTCCGCAGCGCGACGAGCGGCTTGGCTGGATGGGGGACGCCAGCCTGTCCGCGGAGTCGATGTTCCTCCATTTCGACTACGCAGGGATGGCCACGGCGTTTGCCGACTCAATGATCGACTCCATGGGGGCAGATGGAGACTTGCCAGACATCGTGCCGCTGGAGCGTTTCTACCCGGCTCGTCCAGGAGATTCCTCGTGGACGGCAGCATTCTTGGAGATCTTGACGCAAGCTTGGAAAGTGGATGGCGACCTTGAGCCTGCAAAGGCACGTTGGCCAGCCGTCCTGAAGCATGTGACAGGTATCGAGGCGGAGTTTTTGGAGCGGGAGACCTTCAAGACGTGGCCGGAGCACTACGGCGATTGGTGCCCGCCGCCAAAGACACCTGGAAGCCCTCGACAGAGCCCTGGGCAAGAGATAGCCTCGCACGGGTTCTCCGCGGCGTTCTCCGCGGCCCACACCATGCAACAGGCGGCCGACCTGGCCGAAGCTCTCGGCCTGGAGGTCAAGGCGAATCTCTCCACTGTCGCCGACAGGATGCGGAAGGAGTTCCACAAGAGCTTCTTCCGCCCGGAAGCGAACTCCTACGACACTGGCACCATGCTGAGCTATGTGCTGCCCCTCGCCCTGGGCGCGGTGCCCCAGGACGTGGACGCCGCGGTCTTCCAGGGCCTGCTGGACCACATTGCCAGCAAGAACGGCACTTGGTCTGGCGGCATCATCAACAACCGATTCCTGTTCGACGTGCTGGCCGACCGCGGCCACGCCGACCTCGCGCTGGCCATGCTGCAGCGCAGGGACTACCCGTCGTACGGCTACATGTACTTCAACGACTTGGAGCCCGCAAGGGAGTGCATGTGGGAGCTCCCCGACGCTCCCTTCCAGGGTGACGGCATGAACTCCAGGAACCACCATATGTACTCCTCCATCGGGTCCTACCTCGTCCGCCGCCTGGCTGGGCTGAGCAGCAGCTCCGGCGCGAGAGAGCTGACGGCGGTCGTGGGCCCGAAGGGCCTCCAGAACGCGACGGCGCGCCTGCAGACGCCCCGCGGCGAGGCCACGTGGGCCTGGAGGTGGGCGGGCGATTCGCTCTCGGCGGAGATCCTCGTGCCCGTGGGGATGCGCGCGCAGGTCCTCCTGCCCGCCGCGCTGGTCGTCGAGGTGCCTGCCTCGGCGCTGGCGCACTCGGCGACCCCTCAGCGCCCATCGGCGCTGCAGAGGATCACGCTGCCCTCGGGGCGCCACTCGCTGGCGGCCGGGCCCGCCTGGTCTCAGATCTTCGCGTGAGGCGGGGCTGGCTCGCTGCCTCAGGGCCGAGACGTGCACGCGTTTCCTCTCGGAGAGCGACAGTCGAGCCTCGTCGTCGTCTTCGGAGGGCGAGGAGGTGCCGCCTGTTTGAGGTGGTGCCCCACACTTTGAAGCGGTGCCACCTGGGGCAGAGAACCCATTCGAGGCCGGCCGATCCCACAGGAAGGCTCGCGGCCAGCAGTCGGCTTGGACTGGGCATGTGGAATAGAAGGGATGGCGGGCATGAGTAGTTTGAGTGTTTTCATCGACAGTCGACTCGGCAGGGAGAGCTTGGAAGCAACAGGAAAACATCATAGCCAGAGTGCAGTCTCCCCAGACAGGGTTTTCAAACCCACTGCGGTTTCCAAGGTCGATTGCGTGCCCGTCCAGTGCGTCCAGAGGCGCAGCAGCGGGAGGCGGGAGGAGGGAGGAGGGAAGAGGAGCCAGGCGGGAAGCGGGAAGAGGGAGGCGGGAGAAGGAATGAGAGAGGCTGTGATTGGAGCCCCTGTGCTACGAAACGTCTCAGGCAGAACGGGCCAGACCATCTCGCGCGCAACATTTTCGAGTTTCGCAATGTGAGGATGGCTCAAGCGAAACGGGCCAGACCACCTCGCGAGTGACATCTTGGAGCTCAGTAGTGGAAGGATGTCTCAAACGAAACGGGCCGGACAACCTCTCGCACACGTTCTGACAAGTCCACGTCACATTCGCTTCCCATTAGGTCCTCTCCTGCATGTTCTTTCTTTCTCCCTCCTCCTCCTCCTCCCCCTCCTCCTGCCCGCCCCCTCATCCACATCATCCTCCTTCTTCTCCTTTCCATCTCCTCCCATCTCCTCCTCCTCCTCCTCCACCTACCTCCTCTTCCTCCCAAGCGGCATCTCGGAGCCCAGAGTTGCGAGGATGTCTCCAGCGTAACAGGCTGGACCACCTCGCGCGCGGCATCTCGGACCCCAGAATTGCGACGATGTCCTGGGCGAAACGTCCTGCGAGGAAGTCTCAGGCGAAAGCAGGCCGGACCACCTCGAGCGCGGCGTCTCAGAGCTCCGAGTTGCGGGGGCCTCCTGGGGCTTCCTCCTGGGGTTTCCTCCTGGGCCTCCTGTGGCCTCCTGGACCCCACCTGGGGCTTCCTGAAGCCTCTTGGGGCTCCCAGGGCCGTCTGGGCCCCCCAAGGGGGGGGGGCACAAGAGCAAGAAAAATCAGACAATCGGCACCGGATGAGTATTAACTTGACACGTTCTGATAGGGGGCCTCCTGCGGCGTCCTGGGAGCCTCCTTGGAATCTCCTGGGGACCCCTGGGGCCTGTCCTGGGCGTCCTGCGGCCTCCTGAAACTCTCTGGGGCCTCCTGGGGCTCCCAGGGTCCCATGGGGGATATGCAGCATGTGGTCTTCTGGGCCCCCAGGCTGGACCACCTCTTGCGCGGCATCTGGGAGCTCAGAGTTGCGAGAATGTCTTGTGCGAAACGGGCTGGACCACCTTGCTCACGGCATCTCAGAGCTCAGAGTTGCGAGGATGTCTCAGGCGAGACAAGCCAGACCACCTCGCGCAGGGCATCTCACAGCTCAGAGTTGCGAGGATGTCTCAGGCGAAACGGGCTGGACCACGTCGCGCGCGGCATCTCCGAGGTGTTGCGAGGAAATCTCAAGCGAAACGCGCCGGACCACCTCGCGCACGGCACCTCAGAGCTCAGAGTACCACGGCACCTTGGCCTTGTGCCCAGTACCACTCGGCGCGCACCCTGGTGGGGCTGTCGGTGCTCGTCCGGGCGCCCAGTGCTTCTCCGGCATTGGACCCCCTTGTGGCCTTTCGCCTCTCGGTGCGGGGCTACCCCCCTGCGCTCCGCCCGCCATGGTGCGCTCGGGGCTCCGTTGTCGCTCTTCCATCCTTCCCCACACGGGGTCGACGGACACCTGGTCCTCCCCCACCGCGTCTGCTCATCCCTGGCAGTTCTCTGGCTGAGCCCTCCTGCCACCTGGGCGGCGCGTGCTGCTCGCACCCGCCCTCTGGCATTACCCATCCCTGTCCTCTGTCTGGGCTCTCTCGCCACCTGGGCGGCGCGGGCTGCTCGCACCCGCCCTCTGGCATTACCCCTCCCTGTCCTCTGTTTGGGCTTTCTCGCCACCTTGGCGGCGCGGGCTGCTCGCCCCCGCCTGATGGCACCCACGGCCTCCTACCTGCTTCATCCTGCAGTCCTCTGGCTGTTTCCTCCCGCCATTGGCGGCGCGGTCTGATCGCACCCGCCCTGGCCGCCCCACCGACACTCTTCGGTGTCTGGCGATCCGGATCCATTCCGTTGAGCGCCCGCATGCCTGGCCGTTCCTCCGGGGCGATGGCCTGCTGTCCTACGTTCCGCGTCCCTCGGCCTGCCCTGGGCTTGCTGTGCGTCATGGTGGCAGTCTTCTTCTTCATGGACATGGTTTGGCTTCTGAATTACCACCTGGTGCTGCACGTCGCCCGGAAGTATTTCCTGGCGTGCGCTTTCCTGTGAGCGGCAGCGAGGCCCGCCTCCCTCCTGATTTGTTTGCCTCTACCCGTGCTTGTTTTTGTTTCGTTTCGTTTTCCTGCTCCCGTGCGCTAATTTAGGCCGTCGCCTTTGCGCGTCGCCCCTTGACGCCGCCCGATTTTTTCGCCGCGGTCGCGATCAAAAACAAAAAACTTTGGACGGCGCGCGGCACTTCCGCTTGCGCTCGCGATTAAAAAATCCCCACCAGCCCATCCAGGAAGGATGAAAAGCTTTGAAATCTCGTGCCCCACTCTGTTTCCAGGCCCGGGGGAGGGGTGTAGGGGGAGCGGCAAGCCCTCCCCCTCAGCAGGGAAAGGGGAGATTTTAGCAGAGAGACGACCAGGCACATGGTTCCTGAAGAACCACGGGCTGTCCGATACGACAAAAATGTTTTCCCCAAACAGTTGGCTGGACAGTATTTTTATTGAAGCAAACTCGAAGCTAACTCTGGCCGACGAATTTCAAAGCAGAGACGTCCTCACACAAATGTGGTGGTCCGGGCTGTTTCGCCTGAGACGTCCTCGCAACTCTCGTTTTTTTGAGTTGTTTGGGATTGGCCGTCTCGCGTGAGACATCCTCCAAATTCTGAGTTCCCAGATGCCGCGCAGGAGGTGGTCCGGCCCGTTTCGCCTGAGACATCCTCGAAATTCTGAGCTCCCAGATGCCGCGCCAGAGGTGGTCCGGCCCGGCTCGCTTGAGACCCTCTCGCGTTTCTAAGTTCTGAGATGCCGCGCGAGAGGTGGTCCGGCCGGTTTCGCTTGAGACATCCTCCAGAGTGAGCTATGAGATGCCGCGCGCGAGGTGGTCTGGCGGGTTTCGCTTGAGACATCTTCGCATTTCTGAGTTTTGAGATGCCGCGCAAGAGGTGGTCCAGCCCATTTCGCCTGAGACATCCTCGAAATCCTGGGCTCCGAGATGCCGCGCAAGAGGTGGTCCGGCCCGTTTCGCTGGAGACATCTTCCAAACGCTGAGCTCTGAGAGGCCGCGCGCGAGGTGGTCCGGCCCGTTTTGCTTGAGATATCCTCTCATTTTTTTTTTTTTTTCTGATGCCGCGCGAGAGGTCGTCCTCGAAACTCTGAGCTCTGGGATGCCGCGCAAGAGATGGTTTGGTCCGTTTCGCTAGCCCTGAGCTGCCGCGCAAGAGGTGGACCAGCCCATTTCGCTTGAGACATCCTCGCTACTCTGACAGACCTCGGAGATGCCGCGCGCGACGTGATCCAGCCCATTTCTCTTTGAGAGATCCTCGCAACTCTGAGCTCTCAGATGCCCTGCGCGACGTGGTCCAGCCCGTTTCGCTTGAGACATCCTCGCAACTCTGAGCTCTGAGATGCCCTGCGCGAGGTGAGCCGCCCGTCTCGCCTGAGACATCCTCGCAACTCTGAGCTCTGAGATGCCGTGCGCAAGGTGGTCCGGCCGGCCCGTTTCGCACAAGACATTCGCAACTCGGAGCTCCCAGATGCCGCGCAAGAGGTGGTCCAGCCTGGGGGCCCAGAAGACCACATGCTACGTATCCCCCCTGGGAGCCCCAGGAGGCCCCAGAGAGCTTCAGGAGGCCGCAGGACGCCCAGGACAGGCCCCAGGGGTCCCCAGGAGATTCCCATGAGGCTCCCAGGAGGCCGCAGGAGGCCCCCTATCAGAACGTGTCAAGTTAGTACTCATCCGGTGTCGATTGGTTGGTTTTTCTTGCTCTTGTGCCCCCCCCATGTTGGGGGGCCCAGACGGCCACATGTTAGATATCCCCCCCCCTTGGGAGCCCCAAGAGGCTTCAGGAAGCCCCAGGTGGGGTCCAGGAGGCCACAGGAGGCCCAGGAGGAAGCCCCAGGAGGTCCCCAGGAGGCCCCAGGAGGCCCCAGGAGGCCCCCGCGCCGCGCTCGAGGTGGTCCGGCCCGTTTGGCCTGAGACTTCCTCGCAGCACGTTTCGCCCAGGACATCGTCGCAAGTCTGGGGCCCGAGATGCCGCGCGCGAGGTGGTCCAGCCCGTTACGCTGGAGACATCCTCGCAACTTTGCGAGGAGGGGAGGAAGAATTCGAGGGGAGGAGGAGGAGGAGGGGAACAAGAATACGAGGAGGATAGGGGCCAGAGAAGAGCACGACGACGAAGACGAAGAAGGCGACGACAACGATGACCACGACAATGACGAAGACGAGGACGACGACGGCGACGCGAAGGTCTTTGGACAGATCTTTCGCTCCGGGAGCGTGTTGGAGGCCTTTTGGGGCCATCGCGGGGCCATCTTGGGGCCATGCTGGAGGCCGCCTTGGAGGGGCCTTATATCCTCTTCGAGGCATGCTGGACTTGATACGAACCATTTTAGGCTATCTTGAACCGATCTGGAAGCTATCTTGGGCTCTCGGGGGCCTCTTGGAGCCATCTTGACAATTCAACGACCCGCGGGGGAACCGCTGCACACCCAGAGGGAATGGGCGCGGGGAGAGCGGAACCTTTCCCCGAAGGGGAAGAAGGGGGTTAGAAAGACGAGTTCGCTAAGCAATTCACGCCGCAAAGAGTTGGTGGCGTTGCTAGGCACATCAGCCTGGCTGGTATGTGGTCCAGGGTTGAACGCGCACGGATCCTTATTTTTGGAAGCCGAGCCCACGAGAACCCCCAAGAACTTCTACCGAACTTCCGGATGCCCCTTGCGCATTCGAGAAAAATATATGTTTGTTACACCAATACCGCTTGTCGGCGGTTGATCCGCCTGCCCTCTTCCAGTTGGCATGGAGGTCGCCGTCGCTGCAACAGTATTGAGCCATCGCTGCGGCGGTCTTCAACGAGGCTTCCGATCAACACGTCCCATCTAGGGCAACCGGGGCGACAAGGGGGAACCATCACGACACGCCCCCCCGCTTCCGCGCCTTTCCCCGTTTCTTCTAACAGTTGCTTCCGAGTTCAGAGCATGGCGGTGGAGCCTCTGACAGTGCCGACCCGGCAGCTTACTCGTCGACCAGGTGCGAGAGAGTACGACACCCTCTAGCGTTAGTTTCCTGATAGGCATGCGCTGCATGCGTCACACAAGTTTTCGGGTAAATATCTCATGTGCAAACATCATGGTATCATGCTCTAGCATGCCATGCCAGCCCGCACTGGACGGGCACGCGATCGACCTTGGAAACCGCAGCGGGTTTGAAAGCCCTGTTTGGGGATATTGCCCTCCGGCTATAATTTGCGTCGGCGGCTGGACAGCCATTGCGCTTGCAAGGAAGCGAGGCGGGGCTGCCGTAAAGCGAATTCTGCCACCATGCAGGAGGGGGAAGGAGGGCGACGAAGCGACGGCCGAGAGGAGATGGAAGCGGGACGGGGTCGCTCAGGGGAACGGGTCGTTTCCCGGGGCGCGCGGCGCGGCCGTCATCGCCGCTGGGGCGCCGGCAGCAGCAGCGGGGCTGGGGGGCCAGCGGCGGCGGGGGCAGATGCTGCCCAGGTCTGCCGGCAGGGGCGCGAGGCGGGGGCGGCGGGGCGGGGCGAGGCGCGGGCGGCAAAACCAGTCTGGGTGCTGGGGCGGGGAGGCACGCGGCCAGCAGGCCAGAGAAGCGCGTTCGCGCTGCCAACTACCTTGCGGGAGCCGCAAGGCGCGCCACGACAAATCTTCGCAGGCAGGCACCGAACAGGCGCGGTCACGTGTAGACTTAAGTGGGGCCTGTCCCTCCACAGGGGGAATGTTCAAACATAGTTTTACACATGCTTTGGGGGCGATGTTTCTATCGTTTCTTTGGCATGTTAGGGGCATGACTGGACTATTTTTAAAGTTTCGCCCCCCCCCCTGGAGGACACGCCCGACCGACGCGTAGACTTTGGCCTGGGTGAACAAGGCGAGCACGCAGAAAGCAGAGGCCACGGCAGTGGGCAAGCGTGCTGGAGGCCCGCCCGGGGTTGTGGAGGACGCGCACCCGCGAGCCCAGGCGGGCGCGCGGGGCGGGGAAAACGAGGGGTAAGCCCGGGGCGTGCATCAGCCACGGCGGGCGGAGCTGCGAAGCAGGCGATAGCAAACCTGGATCAAATGGGCGCGGATTAACGACGGGTCCCGTTTCCATGGGAGGTCGCGGATTCCCGCCGCCAACAGAGGCGGCACCAGCCGCATTCTGGGGAGGGCACCTCCCCCGACGCATGTCCCCGAGCGAGAAAGGGCAACCCAAAGAATGCGGGCGCGCGCAGCCAACGCTGGGCTGGACCAACCGGCCGGGGAGGGGGCGGCGCGGCGTGCACCATTGGGTGAGGAAGGAGGCGCGGCGCGCGGGCGCGCGGCTTCTAGGCCAATGCGACAAATACAGGTGGATATCCAGCCTGGATTGTTTGTGGAAATGGCGCGTGAGCAGCGATTGCATTCGGCCGATGCTGGCAGTCCCCCATCATGTCTGTAACTGCGGATTTTGGGCGGGCTTCAATTGTATCGACATCGTTCGCGTTTTGCGCCAAGTTTTCTTTTGCGCCCACCGGTGGGATCCGTCAGCGTTCGTAGCCGCACTGGACATGGCAACGGCGTTCGACTCCATCGATCACAGGGTCATTTGCGACTTGTTGACCTGAGCAAAAACTCATGCCGAGCAGTGTTGTTGCTTGTTGCGGGAAGTATCTGGGTTTTCAGATTAATTGTCGGTGCCTTTAGTTGGTTCCACATCGACGAGGGGCAAACGAGGCTGCACAGAAACTCCAGATGTTGGAGCTCATTGGTTGGAGTTGCCATGGGAGATTTGGTCCGCCGTTGGCCCGCCAGACACTTCGGTTTCGATGCTGGCAATGGTCAGCGGTTGGCGCATGTAGTCCGGGCATTTCATAGTTGCGGCTTCCGCGGTCCAGCTGTTGACGGCATGCCAGGAGCTGACGAACCATGCGTTTTCAATTAAGTTGCCCTGGAAGGAGAGCTTTCCCCAATACATGCGGGGCGGCCCTGGCGCAGGTGAAACTGGAGGCATCGACGCGAGCACCCCAGGTGGCGCCACGATGACAATCAAGTTCGCTGACATCATGGAGATGCATGGCGTTATCCTGGACCATCGGGGCTGAAGCACGCGCAGCTTCGAGGATTGACAGCAGAAAGGGGAGGCACGTTTGGGCTCATTCGGCGGACCCCGCTGGCGTCGGGACGGCAGAATATGTTTCGTAATTGTTGCTCGGAGCCTCCGGCTTTAATGGCGCATGATCCAAGCTCGCGGCATGCCACATTAATGTGTTTGTGTTCAGCCAAACGTTGGGAGTATATATTCTTGCGCCTGGCACTACGCCTTCGCAGGAGGGCAAACGAAGGCTGCACTGATTGCAACCAACGCACGGCGAGAATAGTATAATCTTGGGCTTGTCGTTTCAAACGCCGTCGAATTCATCGCCGGATCCCCCATGGGATCCCCCCGCAAGCTTGGAAGAGGAGTACCAATCCTACCCAGCAGGGCAGAATAATGTTAGATTTTCATGTATGTTCAAGAATGGTGTTTGGTGGGCGGGCACGCATCGAGCCACGTGGCGATCCCGACGAGATTGAGGTTTTATGTGCTCAGCCCCTGGGCACGAAGCCGAATGGGAAGGCGTCTTTGGCGATGGTTTACGGTGCGCAGTGGAGGACATTCGGCGACCTGTTCGGCAAGGTGATGGAATGGATGGCGAACTTCGAGTTCTTCGCCAATCATGTGCGCACCCGCTTGCAGTTGCCGCTTCTACCACGCGCGCCGCGCATGGGCGCCGCGGTGGCACCCGCCCACACACGCCAGAAAATTCGGGGATACATGTTGACGAAACTCCAGTGTCCCACGCCCAAAGTAGAATTTACCTCGTTTGGCCGCGGGGGGTGATGCCGGGACGCGTACTGTTTGTTGTGGAACTGTGGATCGCCAACCACTGCAGCGCATGGACATGCCCCTAGCTTGGACCCGTCGGCTGGGCAGCGGGGGCGCCGCATTTGAGATAGCATCGCCAGGTTGATGTACTCCGGATGGCCCCCACCGCACTTTGGGCCGACCCTGTGACGTGGCGATAGAGGGAGTTCAACGTCATAGCGGACCACCGGGCCGATTACACGATGAACGTGCAGAATACATGGTCAGCGGGGTCTGATTGGCCGTGCCCCGCAAAATGTTCACGGGGGCGCAGTTCGATGGTCCACTACGACGGCGTCGCACGTGGCCGGGCACGCGCTGCACCAGCGTGGGCCTTACAGGTTATATCTGACAGGAGGGAAGCACGCCCTTTACCATGGGAGGGCACCTTTTCACAGCAGATGGATTGATTCGTTCTGGTTTGAGGCGGCCGCGCTGGCTGAATGCCCGACGTTTGTGGGAGAGTTGGTGGGTAGGTGTGGCGTTTACTATAGCGAAATTGTCGGCCAGCCTGGATAGACTTCGAGTCGCAATCCAAGTCCAAGTTTCCAAATCCAAAACACCAGCGCCCAGAGGACTGCCGGGAATTTGAGGCGCAACTCGTGCCACGCGGGCAGTACATGCTTGAAGTAGCCCGAACGCGCAGGGGCGGGGGGGCGGAGGCGTCGAGGTGGGGGCATGGTCGAAAAGGCAAAAAAAATCGAATGGACAACGCAACAGCTTGGTTTGCTCAACCAGTCAGGACTCGTTTCGATTCGTCCGATTCGATTAGTGTCGATTTCGGCAGCTTCCGACCCAAACTCGATTCGATGTCGGATTCCGATGTGGAACCCGATTTCTACATGGTGGCCCAGTAGCCAGTCGATTTCCGCCGATTCGACTTCTCCCGGCTCGGCTGCCGAGTTCCGCCGATCCGATTCATTTCGATTGCCGATCCGAGTTGTCGATTCGATTCTGGGCCCCCCTGACAAGTCGGAGGCGTGGGATAGAGGATGGTCGGATCGCAACCAGTTGGAGCCGGACGGGCCATCGTTTTCGACCCCGCTCGATCGACGACGACGACGACGAACATCCAAGAACCAAGACATCCGACAATACGAAGTTTGAATGCCCGGCCCCAGAAGTCCCGACCCCTTCCCTGGATGTTGTTTGTCCTCCCCGATCCGCTTGTGATGTCCCCAGGGCCCGACAACGGGCCCCAGGCGGGAATCGAGGGAATATCAGCCGGATTGAAAAACAGGTGGTCGTTGGATATTGGGTAAGATCAACGAACTTAGATGTCTTTCGATCTTCGACCGATAATGGCGACGAGTTCCGGCGCGGCCTGGACTGGGCCACCCGCGAAAATTGCGTGGCCCCCAAGCAGCTTGGTCACCGCACCACGTGGTGTTTCGGTGGGGCTGTGGGGGTCACCGCACAGCTCTCGGGAGTCGGGTCGTTCTCCAGGGCCGTCTCGGGCGATTGGGGCCTCAGGCCCCAGAACCATGCAGCGACGGTCCGCGCAGTGAAGCCACTACACCGTTTTGAAACCCCCGAAGACAGGCGCGGCCGCGCCGCGGACCTGGCGTTGCCGCTGCTGGCGCGGCTGCAGGCGGCGGGCGTGGCCGTGTCCGAACGGGTCGCGCGCGGCCTGCCGCGCCAAGCGGGCAGGGCGGCGCCTGGCGCGTAGGGCTTGGGCGCCCAAGCCGCCCAGCCAAGTGCTCGGCAGCGCCCAGCTCTAAAGTCGAGGCTGACTGGTCCGAATCCAGAATGCCCTTGTGCATTGTGCGTTCGAGACCCATGCCTTTTGCATTCCTGTGACGATATGGCCCTCGGAGGGGTCTCGTGTCCTCTCGCGTGTTCTCTCCAATCAAGCCGATGCGTCGCCGACGTCGCCGATGCATTGGCGATGCGGCGCAATCCTCCGACCCCATCTATTCGGACCCTATCTAGCTGGCGCGTGCTTTTAATGCGCATATGCGATCGGGAATCGACGGTCGATCAATAATTACCCCTGTTGCTGCCCCCACTCTGGCTGCATGGGCGGGCAGGGCAGGGGTAAAGAGACTCGGCCTACAGAGGCTGGGTTTTCATCCGTGCCCCCGCTCCGCCCCCTCGTGGCGTTCTGGCTTGAGCAGGGGCATGGACAGGATGTCGACCGCCTGTGCTATCTTCTTCCAGCTTGGGACCCCCCGTCGTCGCTGCCTTCCAACAAAATCCAGGGCAGTGGCGTCTCCGACTGCTGCCCCGAAACGAAACACAAGTTTCGGGGCCCGTCCGTGGGGCGTCTCTCGGCCGGGAGGGAAGGCCGCGCCTCGATGCGGGCGGCGCCATGCTTCTGCGGCGCGCGTGCTCTGCTCGACTCGCGGGCCCGCGGGGCCCTCGCAGATCGATCCGGCTCGACTGATGACGCCCGAAGATGGGGGGGGGATCCAGGGATTTGTTCATGGTCGGATCTCCTGATGCGCGGCCCCGGGGTGTCTTCCTTGAGGGCTTCAAGGGAGGCCACAGGGCTCCAGGGGGGGGGCATAGGGCACGGGACTGCTTTCCTTCAGGGCCTCCGATTCGATGTCGACTCAGGCCAGCTCGAATCGATCCCGATATTGCGGCACGATATCTGCAAGACGCAGCTGGGTTTCTTAGCGTAGCCGATCCGATTCGAGTTCGATTCCGCGCCGATGTCGATGCGGCCCGTTCCACCGCACATTCGACGACTTCCCGATTCGATGTTGCCTGGTCTTGTTTCCTCACCGATAAGTAGGAGGTGGATCGTGGTTTGTAGGACTGGTTTGCTCCAAAACGCCTCCAGGACCCCCCAGAGACTTCCAGTGATTCCCAGGAGCATCTGGAGTTCTCCTCCGTCCCGCCTCACTGTTGTCTCACATCCAGGCGTCGTGGAATAACGCCACGACGGGCGCTCAGACCCAGATGCGGGTTCCAGGGCCTTCAGGGATCGATCCAGTCCCCAACCGTGTTTCTGTTCCACGACATTGCGTCACGACGTCGGGTACTTGCGTCTCTCGTCCCTCCAGGAGGACGAGGAGGAGCAGGAATAGGAGGAGCAGGAGTGGGGGAGGGAATGGGAAAAGGGAGGGCGATGCAGCGTTTTTGGGAGGGGGAGCGTCCTGCATAGGGCGTTGCAGTCTTTTTTCCACGGGGTCGTGGGGGTTCTCCCCTCATCATCCTCCTCCTCCTCCTCCTCCGTCGTGTCTTCCTCCCTCTCTCTCCCTTCTCGCTGTGGCGCTCAGCCCGATCCCCATCGGGGGCGTGCCCGCAAGGTGAACCGCAGCCGTGTCTGGTCCCTCCTCGTTCCTCATGCCCAGTCATTCTTCTCACCTCAAGAAGAGCTCTCAAAGCTGACCCTCACCACCCAGGAGGGGCCTGTGTGGGGTTGGACAGGGTTCGCTCGACACAGCTGTTCGTTTTCGAATCCCCGACGGCTTGACAGCACCATCCAGCATAATTTCGTTGCGTGAAATCCGGCCCCGAGCCAAAACTCGGTTTCGGTTTGGGAGGTCGCCGCGGCGACCATGGCGGCCACAAAGCGAGGCAAGGTGTTCGCCAAGGAGTGGCGTGCCCCTTCCCAGCCCGCCCCCTCCGCTCTGCGATTTACACGTGGTTCATCATCAACACTAGAGCGACAGAGAGTTGTCGGTTCATGTCCAGCATAGGCAGTACGCTGTTGGGGGTTAGGGATCGACCACGAAACCATTATCCCTCCCCTCTTCTTTTCACTTCTCCTCCTCACTGCCTGCCTCCCGCCTCGCGCCATTCATCCCCCCCGTCGTCCTGGGATCTCCCGGCGCGCTCGGACAACACTAGGCGGCCGACGCCCCCATAGGGATCGCGGCCGCACCAGCGCGCCCAGCTCCCAGGCAAAAGAGTGGCAGGATTTTCCCGATCTGCGGCGGGGCGGATCCGGCAGGCGGTCGGCTCACGGCGGGGCGCGTCGGAAGCGATTCGGGCACCCCCAGGAGCAGGAGGCCGGGACCGAGCGGGTGGATGGTGCTGCGGGACGGCCAGAGCGCCCTCAGAGCATGAAGGGTCTTGTGGTCGTGAAGTGGTGTCGATGGGCGTGGCAGCCTTAGCACCACCCAGCGGCGTGGTGGACCCCAGCTCATGGCCCCTGCGCACAGCTGATGTCGATCTGCCAAGCCTGAGCGTTCGGATGCAACTCCCAGGAGGTTTGATTCAGCATCAGCGCTGGTATATCCGTGTTCCTAAACCGGCCAGATGCCGCAGGATCCCGTTAATTCGGCGCAAATGTGTTCCTACTTGGTCTGATTGGCCAGGCCATAAATTGAGAGTCAAAGCCCTGCCTTGTAGCACTACCTTTGAGCAGCAATGTGTTTCAGGGGAATTCGCCCACGGCAGATTCGTGTCGTTCGGCTGGCGGCGACCCCGCTGCCGGCGTTCAACGTTGAACGCCGCCGGCGCAATAGAATAGGCCTGAAAGATCTGACGTTTCGGAGACGGCCGATCGCTCAAGGCTGAACGGTCCCCGCGGTGTCAGAAACCAACGCCTACGTCGGCGTTTGTGGAGATGTGTCCGCAGGGGCCCCCCACAACAGTGCAACGCTGCAGGAGTGCCAGAAGCGGAGCTCATCAGGAGGAGGTGGCGGATCAATATCAATATCAGTATACAACAAATTCTGGATCATTAATCCAACAGGGTCTGGAATACTGTACAACAAATTCCCAAATTATTCTGCAATTCATATTTGACCTTGGCACGGCATTTCGCACCTCCGTCTCGGGCATTCATTGTTCCGACCCGGGATCTTACCCTTATATTGGTTCTGCACGTCAGCGTTTCTCCAATGGTCCCGACGAGATTGCTAAATTCATATGGCTTCCCCACGATGTCAGCAAATGTGCGCAGGCAGAAAAGTCTTCAAGATGTGTGGTGGAAAACCTTAGGGATTGTCATATTCGTATGCGGGGACATGCTTGCTAAGCTTATGTGTTTGGTGTGATTTCGACATGTTCGCGCGCGCGTGTGGATTTTGTGTAGTTACTGCTTCCCCTGGGTCTCAACATAATAGTATCCTGCGACAAACGAGCGCGCGCGCATCATATTATTTGACAGGGGTGCGGGGGGGTCGATACCAGCCGGCACTGGATGGAACGAGCTCACTTGGAAAATGAGCGACGTGGCAGGGTCATGTGTAATCTGCAGTGTCCCAGGGGGTAACCCCAGGAAGGAGGAAGAAGGAGGCCCGAGGAGGAGGAGGAGAAGGAATTGGAGAAGGAAATGGAGGAGGAGGAGGACGAGGACAAGGGGGAGGAGGAGGAGGAGGAGGAGGAGGAGGAGGAGGAGGAGGAGGAGGGGGTGGTGGATTCTATCTCCTGGCGCGAGGAGCGTGTACGCGGTCGCTCCGAGCGCGAGGCGCCCACGGGGTGCCCGTAGGCACCGGGCGTTAAATTTACGCGCACCCACCTGGCGCATGAGGCGCGTGCGAGCGCCCACGGGCGGTACGCAGTCTGAGTTTTGTTACCCACGACAACGAAGCACGAACGTGGATATGTCACGATAGCGACATGTTTTTGGAAGTGCCAGTTCTTTTATCGGATAGTTACAACCACGGGTTATGCAGGCAGCCCGCACAAAGCGCTACGACATTTGAAGCTCGACGGTCGACTTTGGCGAAACGGCAGGCGGCAAGCTCAGCAATCTACAAGAAAAAAGAGCCGAGCACTTCCAAATCCGCGGGCACACAGGGCGGTTGAAGCGGTGTTCGCGGGAAGTCGCCGTAAGGATGGTGCACCAATTTAGTTAAAGTGTTTTGCTATGCGATGCCTAGATCCCTCACCACAGGTGAAAAAGTTTGGATATGAATCGACGCCGCGAGGGTAGATGCAGAGTCTCGCACGTTCTGGCACAAATCTTAACACGTTTTTTTGTTTTCTCTCCGCAGCGCAGCCCACACACACACACCTCCAGGTGCCCATCGCCAAACCCGAATGGGGTGAAACACGGAACCTGCACAGCCGCGGCGCGTGGCTAAGCAGGGAAAAAGGAGGAGGAGGAGGAGGAGGAGGAGGAGGGGGGAAGGGGGGAGGAACGCCTGTCCGCGCCCTAAACTACTTCCAGTTCGTCCAACGGGCAAGCGGGCTCAAGGTGGGTAGTGGGGAGGTCGCTGTACGTTTGGAGGATTTGGTCCGCCACAGATCGTTGAAGTGCAATACCGAGGATGCCCCACCATCTGTGCAATAGGCCCAACGCCGTACCACGTCGTACCGCACCAGGTAGCGCACGGCACCGTTCTCGAGCGAGAGCCGGCACAAAGGCAATTGATTGCTTTCCCCATCTGCCGTAAGTCTCTGCCCCCAAGCATTGTAGCGATCCCGGGCCCGTGGTTGTGACATCGTCGTACGTCCTGTTATTGCTGCGTTCGGCTGTTTCCAGAAGTCGTCCGCCGCGGCTACTGGTCCCTGGCCTCGGGGCTCCATTGCCGCTGATGGGGTGCAGAACCGTCACATCACAAAACAATGGCAATCCTTGTTCCACATGGAGACCTGGTACTATGAGGTCCAAGCGCCTTTGGTCCCCGGGGGGGACTGGTATATGTGTGTCCCGTAAGAACCTCTCCACATTCATATCGGGTATCAACCCACCGGCTTCGGTAAAGACTTGCCGCCACGCCACGACCATATGAGTGCGTCGTATGTTCAGCCTGGCGTTCTGATTGGTAGTCATCATAGCGTGTCCATGTGTGTCACGTCCTTCAAACAAAATTCAAATACCTAGCCGTCGGCGAATCGCACACGACATACGTACGTTGTCCAGTACCAAGTTCGCGGTTGTTGGGCAGATTGTTAGCCATATTGTTGCGTAAGGCCCCCTGCTCGACTGAATTCTGGTTTT